GGTAAATATCGCTTCTAGTTTAGTATGCTGAGTATCGCGTTTACGCCAGTTCACCGCCTTGTTTCTTTCTGGATGTGGTTTGTTGCTTTGTGTTCCCTGGTTAAGCACCTTTATCACCTTTACCTTTATCATTTCGTTGGTTAGTTGTTCCCTCATGTCTCATGTGCTTTCACTCTAGTCTGCACTTTTCGCATTTTTTCATGACCGTCATTTTGTAGATTGCGATAAGCTTTTCATTCAGTTTTCACCACTTAGTGTTTGCGATGTACATAATACTTTAATTTTTTGCAGAGTTGGAAATGTTGTCCGAAGCTCGGGCCCGTTTGGCAAATACTCAAGGGAAAAAGGCGAAACGAAAAGCCAGAGAGAAGCAGCTTGAAGAAGCTCGCCGTCTGGCGTCACTGCAAAAGAGACGTGAGCTCAGAGCTGCGGGAATACCGTAAGTTCTTTCCGAAATGCTACAGGAAAATTGTGCTTTGGCGATGCAGCGGGCTGTGCAGCGTGAGCAGATTAGAAATAGGTTTATAGGTCAGTGCAGTTATGCGTTGTATCTCGTACAACAGTGTTAACTTGAATTGGTTGTCTGCATAAACCAAGACCGTGCTTTCCTTGAAGTGTCTGGATTCGCTGAACAGTACAGACTTGATCATAAAAGCAATCAGTTACACAAGCAGCTTTTTCAGATTGTCTGTTGGTCATTGTCAGTTGATATGATTATATCATTGCATCCAATAATTGGTAGAAAATTTTTTATACAATGGAAGAACCTCTCCTTTACAATATATTCAATGCAAAATGCTTGAATATTAGATTATGACATCCTTAAAAGTTCTGAAGGGCACGGAACGTGTATTACCGTTTCAGTCTTGCTGCGGAAAGGAACATACGATATCATCATTCGATGTAGCACTTAGTGGCTGAATATTAGGCGGTCGATATAAAACCCCTTAAAGACAGCGACCCATCGTTGTACTTTCAATAAATCTTGTAATTCGGCCTTATTTCAATTTCGAGTTTATAGCTGCGCTTATCGTCTAAGAAACGACTCTTGTTTTTTGATGAGTTATGGAATAAAATCATCCATTTTAGTAAGGAACGAGTGGACATATGCTTCTTATCTCAATGAAACTGGCTTTCTTGCAGTTGGTCAGATAGACTTTTTAAAATCGGCCATTTTCTCAGTCGATTTTGAGCACTGACATGCACTGATTTGAACGAGAGTTCAAATCCAAGTATCAAGGCGAATGGCTGGTACTTTTTGTGGCAGATGAGCCTATTGGCTATTTTTTTTATCTTTTCTGATCTCATGCAAAAAATGAAGCGACTCATAACAGCCTTCTTTTGTACAGCCCCATCCAGCAACTCGTGGTGTCTTTTTTCTGTTTGCCCAGCTTGCCGCTCCAGTCTGCTTTGGAGTATTGTTCAGCCAGTGTAATTGAATTTGCATCAGTATGGCTTGTCTATTCTGGCAACCGTTATTATCATTACTGTGTAAATTCTGTGTCACTCTTCTCCCTTATTTTGTTTACGAACATTAAAAGTGACTGTGTCGCTGGAATGTAAATTGGAAACTTCCTGCAGTAAACATTGGCCGTCATCACGAAGCCTACGTTGATCAGTGAAACGATATTAAAATGTATGACTTTTGAAGTTGTTGTCGCATAGACGGAAATCCGAACGAGATAAATGATCAATCTGTATTGCAGGTGGGGTCGTGGCAGAAAATTTCGCAGAGGAATTGATTACAATGAAGAAATACCATTTGAAAAGTTGCCTCCACCAGGTCTGGTTTTTGTGTTGTATACTGATTTACCGTGAAGTGATTAAGGTTTCCATAATCCGAGCGAGGACACCGATGATTCACAGAATAAAAGTTTTCGGAGCTTGAGGCGACAGGATTTAGATCCGAAGATGCAGCGTGACATTCGAGAATCTGTATTAATGGCCTTTTTAACCTTATGAGTTTTCCGTTATGAACAATGTTTTAGGAAGAACGAAAGAAAGATAAAGAAAAGATGAAGAAGCGCAAGGAGCAAGATATGCCAGAGACAATTTTTAATAAAAATCAACCGGAAAGAAAGCGCAGCAAACTCGTATTGCCTCCTCCTCAAATTTCCAACTCGGAGTTGGAAGACGTATGAAATTTCTGCTGTTAATCCTCGCTACTTTTCAGTGTTTCAAAACGTGAAACGTTTTGATTTTTACTCCGATGCCTCTTCTTAAGCTATGATGTTTACTGCGTCGATGAAGGAAATATTCCTTTTTGGCAGCAGTTGTGTTTCTTCGTACACATACCTCCTGGCCACCGACACTTCTTCCTTGCCTGAACTCAAAATTAACAGTTGACATGAAACTTGCCTCGATCTCAAGAAACGAGCAAAGCATTCAGTTCTAGCCTTGTTTAATCAGACATTCTTATATGTTCGTGTAGCTGGCCTTAAGCAGAAACTTGGTCATACATCATATCTTCATTTGCCGTAACCAGCGTTCTTGGAGGGCGTTCATTTGACGTTCGTGTGCTCTCACGCTCGGTTTGCAGATTTGTTACGTTCAAAACTGATTCCTTGGAATAGCGTAAGAGAGTGTCGCTTTAATATAAACAGTTTAATATGTCAGGCAACGGTTGCATTACTTTCAGACCGGTGAATATCAAAAAAGTGTCATTATTATAATTTGATTATCCAGTGGTTATACCTGTGACTACAATTAGAGGTACTGCAGGACGCTTCCTTTGTGTTAATTTAGCCGCTATCCTTTACAAACAGACTCTAACCAATACTAACTTGTAAGCCATAAAGACGTCGCTGGCGATTGAAAGAATTCAAAATACAGCAGTCAAATTTTGCTGCAGTCGTGGATGTATCAAAGTTCACTGTTTTAGTTTTCTTCAGAATTTTTTGAAATCATTTTGAAATTCTTCAGCCTGTCCAGTATTTGTTATTGCAGTTCTTTCTCAGGTTGAATCTTATTTTGAGCAGCGTTCATTTTTGCAACATCTTGCACTGACTTTAAGATAATTCGGTTGATGTTCGGTGTTGTAAATGACAGAATATTAATAAGCAGCTTATAATTAATGGCAGAAAGTTGGGTATTGTCTAAGTGTTTCATTACCTTAAACAGTAGTTAGCTTACCTGGTTTTAGTCGATTAAAACAACAATCTTTTTGTGATTGTGTCTGAGAAGAATGCAGTGGACTAAATTTCGTGCTTTTAAAATCCAGTTTAGATAATCAAACTTGGTCGAGCTACAGAAGCTGCTCGTGAATCTGTCGAAGAAAGTGCTGAAAGTGGCAGCGCTTCATCAGCTTTGCTTTCTGACTATTCTGTCACTCACACAGCTGCGTCGCTGCGTACTCCAAGAGTTTCTGGGACTGGAAGTGATTCTATTCTTCAGGTAAATCGCAGACACTCTTATTAAACTAAGTTTCTAATGGTGGTATATTTAAGGAGGCTAAGAACATTATTTCTCTCCAGCAGGTTGAGACACCGCTTAAGGGGGGCGTTAACACGCCGCTGCAAGCCACTGACTTTACAGGAATCACGCCGAGACGAGACACTGTACAAACCCCTAACACTCTCATGAGGACACCAATGGCTTTCACCTCGCGTGGCGAAGGTATTTGTGTCGCGCCGTCTTGGCATAAGCGTTTGTGATATAATCAGTTAATTTTTAAAGCATATCTATTTTTACGAGTTGCACTTAATTGTTTGTTAAAACTGAGTGACATTCAGTTTACTCACCTTTCCTCTTTGGATTTGAGTAATTGATTGAAGGTCAACAGAAACTAAGCAATTGTAGCGATTTTTTGTTTGCTGTAATGTGATTGCGTATTTTAGCGTTCACCCCGGATCGCTATACGCCGCGGTCGTTTACGCCGCGAAGCATTTCGTCCACACCGTTCAGGGACGAATTGAATATCAACGCTGAAGACGCTGCAGTTTCGCCGTAAGCGCGATTCATTCGCCTCGTTTGTTTTTCAATGTGCTGTTGTCTAACAGAATGGATCCGAGCCGAGTGCGAAAAGAGTTGCGAAAGGGGCTGTTGTCATTGCCGCGACCGCGCAACGATTTCGAAATCGTCGTCCCAGAAGACGTTCCTGGATCTGACACTCAATCTGAAACCGAAGAAGTTATGGACGCCGCCGATGTAATTCTGGCCGAGAAGCTTAAAATGGAACGAGGTAGGTTAGTGTGAGGTTAGAACATTTTAAGTTTAATTCGTAAGATTCTGGTGCGACTGCTGAATTTTTAGTCTGACGACCAATGGTTTAAAATTATTTGCATGAAAATTTTTTTGTTTCTGTTTTTGTTTTTTGTTTCTGCTTTCAAGACCATAGGTGGTAGACAGGTGATAACGAGCTATGACAGCGTTGCGGCTTGAACCAGACTTGTGAATCAAGGACTCGTGATCATCTATCAGACGAATCAGTTTGTTGTTCTAATAGCACTGAGACTACAGGTGGTCTGCCCTCCATCAGCCTCAGAAGCGTGTTTCTGATTTCAGTACCATGATTTCAGAGTTATGTTGCCCTGTTCAAAAGAACGTGATTACAATCCGAAAATCTGCGACCGTTGCTTACGCTCTGAAGAAATTTCTATAGCACGGAATTTACCCCACCGTTACCTCGGTGCAACCATCCGGAGAACGGGTAGCAATTCGTTGACCGGCGAATAGAAGGAACAGCAAGGCGTTTTGGTGTGGTCATGCCAAAGCATATGAGGCATGCGGCCAGACTGTCTGATGCTTGAGCCATCCGGTTACAATACAATACATCCTGCCCCATTTGGTAGCTGAATAATAATTAGCACAAAATGCATATTCAAATTTGATTTTAAATTGAATGATGAACTTCTGTTTCAGAAGAAGCAGCACTGCGAAGTAAGTCTAAAGCAGTGCATCGCGATCTACCTCGCCCTGCTGACATGAACAACTCCGTGATGAGGCCGATAAGGCCTGATCTTCCATTGAACGACATCCAGAAGGTAATTGCGCATATAAATTTAAATTATATAGTATCACTGTAATTATTTAACATATTCAGTTCTTTCAAAGCCGCTGTTGACTTAATCTGTTATCATTATTTCATTTCTGATGGGAAAGCGGAGAGCATTTATTTCATTGGTT